CCAAAAACTAGTTTATAAATTCTTAATTAAATAATCTGATTTTTGTCTTAAAATTAGTTTTAAAAGCTCAAATGACAATTAATAATATAATAATCATCAATTGCAAAAAAATATTATAAATCCTTTGTATAATCATTTAATTCTAAAGAAATTATCTTATACAATAAGTATAAAAAGTTTATAAAATTATAAAGTATAGAAATATTTATAATTTCAAATTTTTTTAGTTGATTTTTTTAACAATATATAGATTATTATGTGAAAATTATAAGATGAGTTTAAAACAGCATAATGGAATTTCTTTAAAAAATTATGAGACATAAAAATCTTTTTTATATTATTCTATTATAAAATATATATAAAAATTGTGAAACATATTGCATATATAATGACTTTTTTCTTACTAAACTTTATCAAAAAATTCTCACAATACAATCCTCGCTAAAGTAATAGTAAACAGTTTTTTTAACCTAATACATGCAATTTTATATCAAACCTAAGTTAAATTTTTTTTAAAATAAAGATAAAAACCATAGCTATAAGTTTTATTAAGTAATTAATATTTGGTATATTCTCCATCTGCATCAATACATGCTTGAATTCGATTTGGCATGCTATTGATGCAGTTAATTAAAACGGAATTATCAAGATTATCCCATTCTTCACAAATTATATTAATAAAAATGTCATTTGATATTTTCTTTTTTTGTATTACTATTTTTTTAATTTTTTCTTTAAATATTTTCAATTGGGTTGAAGTCTAGACTATAAGAGGTCACAGAAGAATCTGATTTGTAAGGTGAGTCTTTAAGTCTTTTCTAATATCATTGGAAGTATGTTTTAGATCATTATCTTGATGAAAAATCTAGTGATGACCCAATAATCTATTTGCATTATTGTAAAAATGATTGTTAAAATTTTTTCAGTATAAGTGACGATCAAGATTTTCTTTAAAAATATGTATGCTGATCTTTCTTTTGACATTGATTACAGCCTAAATATATATCTTGAAAGGATGTTTAACCATAAGTTGAATGGGATTTCCATCTTTGGATCATGCACAGGGTGTGTTATAAAACATTTGAATTGTAGTTCATCAGAAAAAACTACTTTTTTTCAATTGTAATATAAGTGATCATATGTTCAAGACAAGCGATTGTCTTTCACTTTCTGGGTTAATAGAGAGACTTTTCAGAAAAAAACTGATACATAACCAAGATCATAAAATTCTCATTAAATAGTTGTTTTATTAACCTCTAAATTTGTATCCTTTTCTTCAAGTATAGTCTTCAATTCTTCTATTGTAGTGAAATAATAATACTTGATGATCCTTCTGATTTGGCAGCGTTTTTAAGGATCAATTTTCATGGTCAGCTAGGTTAATAAATGTCAGAAATGTTACCATTCTTTTACAAAGAGGCAACATATCTTTCACAAGAACACAAGGAAACTCCAGTTCAAATAGAAATTTCCTTTACATTACGAATATTTTTGTTTTAAAGAAACTTTATAACTTCACAATTTTTCTTTATGGATGTCGATTGTATTTTAATAAAGGTAAGTAAAAAAATATTTTGAAACCCATTTTTTGTTTATTTATTTTTAAATAAACATTTCAATACCTAATTTGGCTTAATAAATAATGGATCAAATTAGGATAATAGAGATGCTGCAGTTAAAAATAAAATGATATTTCTACTGCTATTACTTTTGGCGAGAATTGTATCAAAATAACTTTTCATTTGCTTTTATTAATTGTAGAAATTAAAATAAATCTAGTTGATTTTAGAAGTTATTTAATAATTAAAAATAATGAAAAATCATTATTAACGAACTATATAGAGTTACATGTTTGAATTTCAATTTAAGTAAAAAATATATATTAATTATTGTGTTATTTTTATTTTTTTTTTAATTATTTTCTTAAGTTTTCAATACTAATTAGCATTACTAATTATAAATATTTGCCAATTTTATTTCTATCATTGTTTCTATAAGTATATCTAATTTATTACATCTATTTCCTTTTCCTCCTTCAAAACTTCTTTTTTTCTTTTCTTTCAAACTTATATCTTCTTCAGTAAGTATCATAAAGCCTTTTTCTAATTAATTTAAAAATGATTTAACATTTATCTAAATCCCTTTCTTATAATAATATTCATAATACCTTTATTTTAAATGTATAAGGCTACCTTATTGATAATATAATCACAAATTAATACTTTATTATTATACATAGGATTATTTACAATAGGGTTTATTGTATAAGTTATAATTTTTTGGTAAAAGAGTATATTCCGATTGTGAATTATATGGTAATCATCAATATTAAATATATAAAGATTATTATTCTATATTCTATTCAAAATTTAATTAAATAATACTTTGATAACATTTTTATCACAATTATATATTGCATAAAGTTCACAATTTGATAATGCGATATTTTTAAAAATTTCACATTACTTTTAAAATAATTATATGCTTTTATAATTTTGGTGATGATTAGCAACAAATTTTACCAATTACAGTAAATTTTTATAAAAATTAAAATAATGTTAGCAAAACTCTCTCAATTAGTTTCAAGCAGAACTAAAAATAGATGATAAAATTCTGGCAGAATCTGGTATTTTAGATAAAATTTTTTATATACCAGATCTTTAACCGGTAAATTTTGATTTCTATTTTCAGCCTTAGTTTCAAGTCTAAATTATATTTATTTACAAAAATAAATGTTATGTAAAATTAGTGTTACATAAATTAATTTGTCCGAAGCTATAGCTGAAAGACATAAATAGTTAAATATACTTTATGCATGCATATACATATAATATCTGTCCTCTACATGATCTACCAAATAAGTATTATATTACAGTTGATCAAATATTAAGCTTTGAACACTTCAACAGTTTCTGTTACTTAGTAATTTAGTAAATAGAGCATTTTCTATAAAATTGTAACACATAACATAAGTGAAAAAAATTTTATATGCGCATCTATTTGTGTTATTTTTAAAGCTATGTCTAATTTTACAGAATATAATCTCCCTGATCTCTCAATAGCTGATATAGTGAAAAAATGATGTTGAGATAATGTTAAAGACTTTTTGCAAACAAATAAAAGTGATTTAGAGCTTGATGAAAATGATATTAATGTAATATATGGCCAAAATATCACTGGTAAAGCCTTCCTTCATTTGAAAGAAGAACAGCTCACTCATGATTTTAGCTGTTCAAACTGCTATTTGGACTAGTTTCAGCAATCGCAGATGTGATTAAACAAATTAATAAAGATAAGCGAGTATAAAAAAATAGTCAACATAATGTACTATTCTCAAAAAAAGTAATCAGAATTACAAAAAATGTAATAAATAAAAAATTAGTGATTGAAATTACTTTAAATTTTAAAGATTTATTGATAAATATATAAATATTATGTATATAAAATTTTAGCTATTTACTTTATCTCCTTGTCTTACAATCACATTTTTAATTAAAAAAAAAAATCATTAAAAATTTAAAGAATAAAAAATTTGTTAAGTTTTTATATAATATCTCAAATATCAATGAATAGCTTTTTATATTCATATAAAAAAAAATTACTAATATAAAAAGTATACCTTTTAGTAGATTTATAAAAAAAATTTTGATGCTATTTTATCTATTGGTTTTTGGTAAATTGAAATTAAAGTTGACTATAAAATAACATGCAAAATGCAGATCATAATCATACTTATTTTAATATTAAATATATAAATTTTTTTGTATATTTAAATACTATTAATCTACATTAAATAATTTATATAATAATTTTTTATAATTATTGTAGTTTGAATTAAAATCTTAAATTTTTGTTCTTTTAGCTATTGTTAAGGGTTGAGGTCATTTTAGTAAATAAATTTCAATTTTAATTTTTTCAGTAATTAATAAATCATAAAGTATCAAATTTTTTTTCAATGAATCAGCCTAGTCTGAACTTTGATTTTATAGCTATTTAATTTTGATAAATTGTAATTAAAAATGTTGTATTAAAGTTTTCAGGTTTTTACTGCTTAAATTTTTAATGATTTTTTTTTTGACTTAAATGATGATTGTGGGATATAGAGATAGAATAAATGGCTAAAATTATATATACATAATATTTACATATTTGATAACAAATCTGCAAAATTTAAAGTAATTTCAATCACTAGTTTTTTATTTATTATATTTTTTGTAATTCTCATTACTTTTTTCAAGAACTGTAGTATTTTATTTTTGTTTACAATGTGTCATATTTGCTAATAATACCGATTACTTATTCTTGTGCTTTTCTTTCTTACTTCTTATCATTAAAGAAACTCGTTGCTGATAAGTAAATCATAATAAATTTAGATAACACGAGTGAATGTGCCTTTGCTTGATTTTTCATTAGCTATTTTTTTATCTTTATTATATAATATTAAATACATAATCTTGTGCTTTTTTTACTCCTTATTCTCAAAAATCTTAAAACATAGAAGTTAAAAAAAATATTACTGATGCTATCCCTAAAGGTATGTATTAAGTAATTTCTGTAAAAAAAAACTTACCATTCTTATACAGAAGCTAATTGAACATACTATCATATACTAGGCTTGTCATATATAAAACTGAAACCTTTGCTTTACACTTCTGATGCTAATTGGAATATCAACCTGATCCATCTTTAAAGCAAATCTTGCGAAGAGAGCTTAAAAATCATAATAAAAATTTTAATTTAAAGCATTTTGATAAATTGAATCTTCCATTTATTTTTTCCTTTCTGGAGCTGATACCAGAAAATCTTGAAGCGCTAATGAATTCTACTGGATAACAATTACATGTTTGTTAGCTCAAAAAGATGAGGAGCTGTTAACTAGAATTAAAGAAGCTTAGGTATTTCTTATCAGCTATGAGAATGGTCTTGCCTTACGGACAGAAGAATCCCATCCTTTTTTTGTCATTGATACTCATATGCTATTTTAACTTCTTAGAGAAAAAATGATACTTAATGAAATTATTAAAACATTCAATCTATCAGATCCATTAGATGTTGTATCATTAATTGCCAAATACCACAATTTAGACTTAAAAAATGCTACAGTAATTTTGGTTGTTAATAGCATGTAACAGCTTATGAAGAACAAAGATGATGGTTTAAAGTTAAATTTAACTTTTACAAAACTCTGATATCTGTTATAGATCTTGTGTTTAGTGATATTTTTGTAATACCTATTTGTATCTTAACTATCATTAGACTAATTGATGAAATGTTAAGATATTTTCTGCAGAAACGTATATACTTACCAGTTGCTTCTCTACAGCCACTAAATTATTAACAAGAAAATATCTTAGTCTTAATTTTTAAAAATGATGAGATTACTAATACTCTTGTAAAAGATTCTGGAAGACATAGAAGAGTTCTAGAAACTCTGAATGATTGTCATAGAATTGAAGAATATAATGTTAATACTTTGATGAATGATCTGCACTATAACCTTACTGAAAAATACCATAATGCTATTTTTAGTACTGTTGAAGATGTTAGGCTAATTATATGAATGATATTTACTAAACGTCTCTTAAATAAATATAATCATATTCCAAAAACTAACAAAATACCAGATAAATTTGTTGGAGATAAATTGATTCGATTTGAATAGTTAAGTAATAATAGTTAAAGGGGATATCTCATTGCACTATATATTTAGCTTTGAATACTTATGAAAATATCTAATGAAGAAGAAGATTTATTACTTTAAGATTGGAAATTCGCTGATTATGGTAAGCAAAGAGTATTTTTGAATCCAATAACATTATTGTAAGCAAAGTCATGGCAGAGTTTTGAAAAATTTTGTCATGTCATTTTGTTATATCAAGTCAGCTATAATTGAAGAAGATGAGCTAATAAATATCTCAGAAGTTCATGCAGGAGCATGTTTAAATAGCGATATCCAATTTAAAAATCACAATCTATAACTTGAGATTACAAAACACTAATATAGACACAAATTTTAAAAATCACATTGCAAACAAATGAAATGTTAAATGCTATAATTCTACCATTGATATTCAAAAATTCAAACATTGTATCATTAATGTTCCAGCTTTACCATATGGTAATTCCTTTCTTTCATTAAATCAGCCAGATATTGAGAGTCTAAATGAAATCTACTAATTCAAATTGCGAAAAAAAGCAGTTAATCAAAAGAAATACTATGAAGAGTGTAAAAAATCTGCATCAGAAAATGATTTTTTCATCCTCTTTACAACTGCAAACTGTAATGTTAAAATTTTAAAATGATTTAGAATTGTAGATAAAAAAGCCTTTACAAAATATTTTAGACCATTTGCTAGAAGAGTATACAGATTTGCTATGGCTAATTCTTCTATTTATAATAAAGTCAAGAACATTTATACAGTTTCTCTTGGATAAATCTACGTCATAAATCAAATTAGCAAAGAACAAGTATATGTAAAAATGAAGATAGCAATGAAGAAATTTTATTTCTGAAAAGGCCTTTACATAATTTTTCACATTTTGCTTTAATTCATGTGATTACAAATTACAGTAGCGGTCATAAGTATCCGATCATCTCTAACTCTGGCTACAAGTAAGTAAATTCAAAATTTTTTTTTTATTTAAAAAATACATAACCAACTAACTAAAATT